TCCCACTCCTTTGTGTGATGAAAACCTCAGAAATCGCCGAACATCAACGGGCTGACATGGAACTGCTCCCATTAATAAAGTATCTCGAAGGGCACGACGAACAAGTTCCTCGCGTATTTAAGAGAGGGTTATCCTCATTCTGCCTCCGAGATAATGCACTTTACAAGAGGCATGAGTGGTGCGGCCCCAAGCAGGAGTGCGCACAAGACTGTGGACGATGATTCTGCATAATGTCGGATAGCGTAAACAGTCTCTATGGCAATATAAGAATTAACTGTCATCCTTAATTGACTGATCTGTACCTAGAAGGAAAGCTTTGTCGAATCCTTTATGTGGTTAAATAGCATGTTGAAACGCATGCCCAATAAGTGGCTGTCTATACACACAAAATTAACAGCCAGGACCTACCATTGGTCTTCTTATCAGATATTTAACCGAAAATTTTGTACTAGGCTTCCGAAAGCTAAAAAAAAAAAGGCATTTTTCTATAAAACTTGTCTTTCACTGCTGTGCTCTAATCTACGTACGTTTTGGAGCGTCGCTAGCGGAACTAAAATGCTACATATCGAATTAATTCAATCTGATGTCCCAGTTGCTCTTAGCGAAAGCTGCAACGTTCTGAGTAATGTACTTGCGGCACACTTTCATAAGCCTCCCCACAATATTTCCACATTTAACAAGGATCGATTTCTTACCAATGGACCCTTTTGTCATTGATGCAGTTGGTGTGGAATGAATGGTTGTAAACTGGAAAGTGCCGGTTGGTCCATATTGTACCTCATCAGGAATGCTGACGTGTACTGAAATCTATTATTTCATTTTTGTTTTACCAATTGTCTTATCAATTGCTGCACAATTTGTCAATAAAATCTGAGAGTCCAAAGGTTGATGTCTCGCATATCACCAGATAAAGAGGAGAGGCCCGAAGAGGAGAAGTGACTTTTTTTTTTTGGAATTCGTGGCGTGCTCCTGGCACCATTGATGTTGACGAAACTCTGAACACGATGCGAAACTTTACTTTAAATGTCTGAAAAAATATCGAACATGGTTTAGCGGCACTTTAATTTAAGGCAAAAGCAGTAACACCGCCACTGCCTTTATGCTGATAGAAACTGACACTACACAAAAGGTTCAAAGAGTTGACACATCTGCTTTAATTTCACCTATGAACAACATTCTCTAATGAGTTACATGCACAGACACACTCACACCACAAAAAAGTGTAGATATTACTAACACAGGAACAAAAGAAAGATTAAATAATATAGAAAAAATAGACAGTTTGTAATACATTGCGGTCACGCTTAATGACATAAAAAGCACGAAGAATGACTCCAATACATATCACACAGTCGAGATGTGCCTGATGAATGTGGGAATGTTAATAAATAGTGCAGGTGAAAATAAGAGTTTCAAAAGGCAAACTCTTGAGAGTATTGGTTGAACGGAAAAAATATCACAATAAGGAACATGTGTTCGCACATGTGAGAAAAAGGTAGTTTCAATTTTCTTTTTTTTTGTCACTGTGGCAAAAGACCTTCTGTGACTCAACAAATCAACACCCACATCCCATTACTATACTCATCACATAAAATAAAGGCTTACCATAGTAAGACAGGCGAGGGTATAAAAAGTTTCACATAAGTGCAGCAGAGCACATTTTATAGATAAATTGCTGTCCTAATCACAACACAGTGAATGTACCTTTAGAAATTTCTACGCATCAGCATACTAGTACTAGTTACTCTTTGGACACAAATGAGGCATTACAAGAAGCAAGAGGATTTTTAGCAATACGATACCATCACATTAAAATGAAACCTCAAGAGATTGGTAAAATGCATTTTGATTAACAGCTGCGCATATTGCACAGAGGTGACTGCTTGCCGTCATACACCTTCTCAACATTGTTAGGTATGCTAAATATTAAGTAGTCAATGTGGTGGCTAGTTTGTCTCGCGATGTGGCGCATCGTTTATGACTATAGAATGGGCTAAGCATTCCTACTTTCTATTTCAAGGAGATGCCACTGATGTACTTAATATAAACACGACTCTTACCATCCCAATTGATGCCAAGTAACACACACTTGCTCACACAACAACTTTGAACCTGTTTCACCTTCCGTATAGGAGATGACTTGCTTTTCATACAGAAGACAGCTGTCAAAAAAATACATTTCAGAATGCCTGTCTACTTGAAAAAACAAATTAGATGTTGCTTCTGTGGTTCTGTATACACAGAGTTGTGAGGACTTTGGTTTTGATTAGCTAAAGCTGTCTTTCTGTTATTCAAATACAGTTCTATTAAAAGACAGTAGTTCCGCTCAAGCAACTTTTGTTTACTATGATTCTGCTGTACCTAAGTAACAGAATACTGCTAAAAAAAAGTAATGCATAATGTAGCCTTAGATATCGAAGCTTTGGAACTTTCATTGTGACAATAAAGTTCCACAAAAAAGCTACACTGTGTACTCTGTAATAGGTATACTTAGCAGGACTGTTAGTTGGGCTAGTTGGTGATACATTATGGGCAGTAACGTTGCACAAACTCACTGGATGAAGAGAAGGGACACAAACAAGCGCTGACTCTCTGCTGAAGAATTATTGAAATATACAAATTATCTTAACACATAAGATAAACATAGAGAACATGCGCAGAGAACTGGTGCCACCCTGGATCTAGGGTGGCGCCAGCTCTCAGCGAAATCTTTCTCGGGAAAGTTGATTCAGACTATAAAAGAAGTTGGAGAGGAAGGTGGTTTGTGTCACCAGTTACGTAGATGATTACTTAATAGCAGTGCCCAAAAATGAGGAGCTCATGAATGTTCGAAAGGTCCTGCAGATCTTTCGAAAAACTGGGATGGGGCTAAAATTCACCAGCAAAGTGGCTTCACAGCATGCCTTACAGTTCCTAGACATAAAGATTACTTTTGCTCACCATCACCCTTGTTGGGCGTATAACCCAAGATAAGTAAAACCATTGCGAAATTACAAGTCTAATCACTGAAATAAAAAAAAATGTCGTGGCTCCGACGCGGTGGACTAGAGGGTAAGGTACTCAGCTGCTGACCCACAGGTCACGGGATCGAATCCGGCTGCGGCGACTGCATTTCCGATGGAGGCAGAAATGTTGTAGGCCCGTGTGCTCAGATTTGGGTGCACATTAAAGAACCCCAGGTGGTCGAGATTTCCGGAGCCCTCCACTACGGCGTCTCTCATAATCATATGGTGGTTCTGGGACGTTAAAGCCCTCATATAAATCAATCAATCATTCAAAAATAGAGAGAAGGGCATCACTACGTCTAGCCTCAAGGCTGCAATTCAGAAGTCGTGCAGGCACAAGGCAGAAAAAAGCTTCTATGAACAGGTGTGTCACCTTCAGGTAGCCGGCTTCCCCACGCCTTTTCGATTAACAAGGGTCTGATACATCAGATCAAGAAGGAAGAAAAAAGTGGTAAAAAGCAAGAGAGGTAAAAAAAAATGTGCCACCATGCCCTACAAGCATACATTATCCCATGGACTAAAAAATGTGGCATCACTGTACGATGTACAGGTACTATTCTCGCATGATAGAAAGAGCTCCAGTCAAAATAAATGCGGTGTAAAACACAGGAACGCTTAACTACTCTGTGTACTAGGGGTAGTATACAAAAATCTCTTAATATGTAAAAAAGTGTACATCAGGCAAACAGGGCGTTGTCTCTATGTACGGCTAAAAGAACACTCCCTGAACCTTTAACACCTGCACATACGGGAATCCATCTTTGCACTGCCACACGTGTGTGTGCACGCCTTTTTCCCGATGAAACGACAGTGCTCTTCAAACATATAGTGATCATGTGACAAGAGAACCTGTGGAAGCTTTCTATATTAAAAAAGAAGGGGAGTCTTGCGTTAATGAAACATAGATATCTTTACATGAAAAAGGAGAAGTCCTAATCAGTAGCATGCTTGTTTGAATTAAATTTTGTCACAACTGCGCAGTTACCCGCAGCATAAAATTGTGAATGACGTCGACATGGTCCTTTGTTGGCCCCTCTGCGCATCCTTCTGCATGCTTATATTATGAGTTCAAATAATTTGTATATTTCAATGAATCTTCAGTTGAGACTCGGCGCTTGTTTGTGTCCGTTCTCTTCATCCCATAAGTTTGTACGCTGTTACCTCCAATAAGGTATACTTAGTACTAAAAGGAAGAGTATGTCAGTGATACTACATGATAAAGAGCAATCAAAAGTAAAACACAACTCTCAAAAGAGCAATCACAAAGAGATCTTCTTTTTTTCCACCTTTTGACAGTGCAGCACACTCGGCAGTATCTGGGATCGCATTTTGAACCTAATTAGGTGCAGAATTCAGTCCAATAAATGCAGTTGCAGTAAATATTTGTCGATACCACAACTGTCACACTGCCCATTTTGTTAGCCATACTCGGCAGCAATAGCACATGGAACAAACTCCAGTAAATATTATTGCCACAAAGCGCATTTGCTTGAGCATGCTGGTTTAGCAATGTCGACATGCAATAAGCACGCCACCACTGGAAATGGTCAAGCAAGGAGACCAACGAGGGTATGATGAAATATCTAAAAAAAAATCTGTGAAAATGTCGCAGTAAAATTGATTAAAAGTGAGTGGTATTACATTGTATGCAAAGAATGTCTGCAAAACTAAGGCTGGTAGCTCTATAAATCTTAGAGGACTTAAAGCACCGCCTATACAAATGAATTCTGTACCACGTGAGCAGCAAAAATGACCGAAGCTAGGGCCATTGCCTCTGAAATTTCTCAACGTGTCGCAACCTACCGCAGGTGGCACCTGAACCAATTGTTCACATCAAATAAAGTCACATTTCGCGACGTGCATCACTTCTGTAAAGTGGCGACGACGACATTGTGATCAGCTTTGTTGCTATCTTTTCTTGATGCATCCAGAGCATTTTCAAATGCAGAATTTTGCACAGATGCTGTTTAATGTAGGCACTGCATAAAACTATGATTTCTGCATGACCCACGATTTCGTGGAAGTGAGCATTTAATCTCAAATGCAAGGCTACACTCATTGAAGCAGTTGGTAACAATAATGCCAAAATAAGTCCTACTTGTTTTAAGTATTGTTCTACTATTAGTTGACTCGAAAGAAATGAGAATGATCATAAGCTGAGCTACGATTGGGAGGACATATTTATGGCACATTAAAAACGAGGCATTATTCTTGCCTGTGCTTGCCTTGTAAAGGCTCTCGGCAACGTTCATTTGTTCTGAATCCTCTTGTCCTTCGACCAGTTCCAATGCATTTTTGAGAACCTTTCCGTAAAAATTTACTCACATTAGTCAAGAAAAGTCCCCGCCACAGTGGTCTAGTGGCTAAGGTACTCGGCTGCTGACCCGCAGGTCGCGGGCTCAAATCCTGGCTGCGGCGGCTGCATTTCCGATGGAGGCGGAAATGTTGTGGGCCCGTGTGCTCAGATTGGGTGCACGTTAAAGAACCCCAGGTGGTCGAAATTTCCGGAGCCCTCCACTACGGCGTCTCTCGTAATCATATGGTGGTTTTGGGACGTTAAACCCCACAAATCAATCAATCAATTAGTCAAAAAAAATGACACCAACGCTATTTCCGACCCACGTCAACATTCAGTGACACTGGACTGACTGGCCACAACATCAAGGTAACCACTGGATACACTGGTAACCGTAACTTTGCAACAGCGAAGAAGCTTTGTGACTATTTGACATTACGCATTGCACCTTATGTTGGTGAATATGTTGTAGAAAATTAATGATAGAAAAATGCGACCCCAGGGAGTGCTTGCAAGAACAGTGAGACACTAGAAAACTAACAACACCATGGACCTGAGCAGCGTACACGTCCAGTGTTCCGAACAGACGTTCGAACCTGACTACGACGACAAACAGGAAAACGTTACGTCAGTTCCTCACCGCCACTACCTGCGGAACATGTAGAAGTTTTTTCTCCTTCCTCTAAAATGCACAAACTCTGGACATATTGTAGACTTTTATACTTCACCAGTCAAAGCTAAGCTGCTGGCTGGCACCCTCAACTGCCACTGTAAAACTGTATTCTATTTTTGCTGGCGTAAATTGACTCGCTATTCAACAACCACTGCTATAGTCTCTTAAGACTTATGACGTCCAATTGGCAGTGGCTAGAGAAATCATCCTTACAGTAAAGAGCGCAGGGTTACGTGATCACACGGACCAAAATTGATTACAACATTTGAAATGTTGCTGCATTGCCAAAAGTCGCAAATGGTAAAAAAGATTTATCAGTAAATTGTTCCATTATTAGACTAACCTCAGTTCTTTTACAAGAGTGCACATTTGAAATGCTATTTCTATTTCACTCAATTATACATGCTTAGTTGTACACCTTTACAGTGTATAACACGTACAAGGTCATCATAAACACCTATGCAGTGTCATATGCAGTGTCGTATAATAGGACTGCATATTCTATAACAGTGCACCTTTATGAAAAAATTCATGAATTCATTAAACTATTTAGGGAATATTGCTATCATACAAAAACTACCACTTGTCCATAAAGCATTTCCATCGTTAATTTCTCAGAATATCTAAATGTGAATTGCATTCCTGATGGGTATGTACCACGCAATGTACAGTATTGAGAAATGAAAATTTGGGGAATAATTATTGCACCCAACAGAAGTGTAGTTTAAAGAGCGTGGGAGTTTTCAAAGTGTGTGGCTAGTGTGTTCACGTAACCGGGGAAGTTTGCTATAAAAAATATTGGCGATTATCAATTACAATGACCTTTTAATAAAGTGGGGGGGGGAAGGACTGAACGTGAAAAATAAAAGGGGGGAATGGTAGGGCTATGCAAAGCCAGATAGGAAGACTACTTATAGTCGTGGTATGATCCCCAGCCCCACTTTTGTTTAACGATGCACACATTTACAGTAGCAGTCGTGATGCATTAATGAAGACGAATACAGTAGTAATGGTGTATTACGTCACTGTGAGCGGCAACGTGGAGCGAGGAATCGCTGCACATAACTACTACTTGAAACGCAATACTTTACATCACAACCACAAAAACCACAGCTCTCACTAGAACAAATGTTTAGAAATGTGCTATCACAAAAAGTGTGAAAACCTTAACATTCACAGCGTACCATACCATAAGCTACGTCACCATTCAGTCTACTTCAAGCCAGCTTTACAAGTGATAAAGCATTTACACCGCTGCCATATTTGGTTCAGACTTCACCGAACAGAAGCTCTTGCAATCACCTGCAAGATGACCACGAGTTGTGTACACATCACGCAGAATTTTAAGGAAAATAAAGGAGGAGAGAATATCACACTGAAATAAGCTTAACGTCTGAGAAAGACATTTTGGAGAAATATTTCCGCACATTTTCCCGCGCAGTACCCACCCCACGATAAAACCAACACCCCAAGTTAGAAAATAAAAATAAATATATAACAATGCAAGACTAATTCTCATAAATAACTACATACAATGCCCATACCTTCGTAAATGCAACCCAGAACAACAGTCGATACATGGCAAAACATTTTATAAGTGGATGCTTTGCTAGTTCAACCATCCATACTTTCACACTGTTGCCATCTGTTAAAGCGTCATGTGAATTGACAAGACACAGTATTGCTATGCGAAATCCGGAGGAAATTTTGAGTTTGCATGCGGTTTCATGTTAGTGCATCATGTGATGCTATGAATCCACAATTACAAGTATGCTCGATTCATATACGCATTTTTACATGAAGCTTGCGCACCTGTAAATGCGCTGAGTTTGTTACGAAAACCTTCATCGATTCCTACGCCACAGATCAAGGAAGAACATGCATAGATAGCAACAACAATCTCCAAAGCTGTCAATGCATTGATTCTCTTTTTCTAGTACATAACCATACTGGTGTGGTAGGTAGACTTGCTGCGCAGAACTTGTGTGTTTGGCTGATGCCATGAGCTTTGCTAGGCTCCGAGATTGTTGCCAGCATATGATCTCAGAGGGCAGTATCGTGTCAATGCTATGGCTGCTAGATAAGTGCTGGCAACTGCCGGTGCAACGCTCTTTTGGACCATGAACAGTGGTCAATTTAATTAAAGCAGAAAATGATGAAAGCCATGATCCATGGAAAAGTAACTTTCGGGCCCCGTATTGCCCCTTTCCCATATTTCCCGAGTATATTTAAGCATGCTAGTGGTGATTAAAGAACTGCCCATTTCATGCCATAACTGTTCTGAACAAAACAGATTCAAAAATATTTAGCTGGAGGACATTCCTGAGATTCATGAGAACAACACACGATCACTTTTACATTTCAGTCACGATTGTAAAACGGCTGGAGATCAAAACCGTGACCTTGAGCTTGGCTGCACAGATTTTCATAGGTACTGAGTACAAATCGATGTGGATGCGCTTAAACATGTGACCATGACTGCATTTCACTCACCGGGCTCAATCAAGTGACAAACTTGCTTCGACTTTTCGCTTTGCTTCGGCTTGTAGTACACCGCTACAAACAAAACAAGGTCGCACATGCTTCAGCGTGGCCAAAAAACTAAATGCCGGCAGAAGAAACTCATGATGACGTGAGAACTTGAACGACGGGGCGTAAAACACTCACCCACATTGATTATTGCCACGGTTACTTTGTATACGAGCATGATGTGTGTACAACATCAAGGTGAGACTTCCTATGATTTACATGCCGGACTATTAACCTTCAATCACTTTCTATGGTTAGGGTCGACATTGTGCCTTAAATGCATGATTAAGTCCATGATCTTCACCTTGGCCGTGTCACGGGCCAAGGCATCGAAGGTGCGGAGCGCGGCCGCGACGTACATTCCGAAGTAGTGCTCCTCATCGAGCCGCGGACCGTTCCGGGTAGGCGTCGCCGACGTCGTCGACTGCTCCTCCTGCTGTTTTCTCCGCTTGTGAGGAGGCGTCGGAGCGCGGTGCTCCGAGACACTCGAGCTATCTTGCTCGGCCTCCAGAACTTCAGCGGACTCGTCCTGCGAAGTTACGTTTCTTTTAAGCTAAGATTCCGAGATTTTACATGCCGGAGGCCAATGAAGCGACTGGGGCTAGTTGTTAGAGGCTGATGTCGAATACGCATGGACTGAAAATATTACGTAAAAGAACTCAGACGGACAAATATTTACAGGACGGAATGCACCATCCTAGCACTTCATCTTGTCAACCTGTGTTTGCCTCAGTTTTTGGTGACCAGGACAGTTCAACAGGATGACTCACACTGTTCTTGTCCTATTAGTGTGCCTCACTTTTTCCTGTACACCTGTGTTTGCCTCGTTCACCAGGACAGGCCAGCAGTGTGAAGCACACTATCCTTGCCCAGTGAAGTGTGTTGTACTTAGTCCTGTGGAGCTGTGTTCACCTCAGTTATTTGTCACCACGATATGCCACTACGATAAAGCATACTGTCCTGGTCCATTGAAGTGTGCTGTGCTACACCCTATGGAACTGTGTTCACCTGAATTGGTCACCAGGACAAGTCAATAGGATGAAAAATATTGACTTTGTCCTGCAAACTGTGCCGTGCTTTGCCCTGTTTGCCCGAGTCCTTTTATGTGATACTTTTAGTCAGCACTTACTTAAAGCCTACGTCCCAAAACGAAAATACCATTATGAATGAAGCACATCCTAGTGAGGCAGTGAAGGTTAATTTTGACCAACCTGGGTACTTTAATCAGTGCCTTCTCTAACTACACATGCAAGGAGCATCACCCTGCTGTGTGTCACAACCAGACACCATAGGAGCATTCTTGCCATCATGCTATTTACTCATGCATAGTCACCTATGACGTAGTGGCCTCCGTATCTATATTTCCAAATGCTCTGTGGTGGCGCACCTCCAAAGTGCTTGCAAGGGGCAGCTGTGGGAGGCACTGGCCACCAGCACACAATGAAGAGAACCGGAATAAGAGGGCCGGTGCATTCATCCCTCGTGTTGCAGGCATTTATTTGAAAGGAGTCACTCCTTCAACACGCACCTAAATCTAAGTGCATTGATTTTTGTGCTGAGCAGAACACCATATTTGCTGAGCCATCACGGAGGGTTGTTATATCTTCTCGGGTTAAAACAAGCGCTTCAAAATGCACTTGAAGCACAGCAACTCTGATCTGGGGTTATGTTCTGAAACAATAACCCCAATAACCCTTGGCAATAGTAATTTCACTTGTTCAAGATTTTACGACACTAGCGCTGGGTGCATCTGGTTGTGTACAGGCCACATTGATCTGGCACGGTGACGACCACACTGAGATGGCAGTCTAGAAATGCTTGCAGACGCCAATGCGTCCAGTCTCGCAAAATCACGGGAGAGTGTAAGCATCAATGAGGGTGACTATCTCGGAATAGCACCCGTGTGGATTCTACTGGCCATGAACTTGCCAGGAAATTAATATTCTTTAGCAAGTACGTACAAGAATACCAATAATCACACATTATACCCGTTTTTTTTTTCCTTTAATAGTGCTGAATGAAAAGAAAAAAAGCTTGCCAGTAAGTTATTCTTTAACACTTGTACAAGGGAAAAGCCTGCTGCCCACTTGGTAATGAAATAAATTATACAGAATGTGCACTGATGTCACCCTGGCCGCCATCTTCGGGTACTGGCTGGTTGAGACACCGCCTGAACTCTCGCTCAAATACGTGGAGCAAGAAACTGTGATATTAGATAAGTGCCGATGCCCCCTAGTGTTCCTTTGTATTCACCCTTGGTGCATCTGGGAAATGAAATTCGAAAAAAGCGGGGGGAACACAAAAGACTGCAGCGGTAGGACCGACCCTCACGCACTGACACTCTCTAATGAGATAACAAATCACGGTGGCCGCCATGTTTGCGTACCCCTAGCAGAGGACCTGCCGGTGACGTCACGATGAAGACAATGCGTGCAACTGGTGTAAGAGACATGCATTAGATTACTTTGACTTTGCGTTGTTCCTCCTCGGCTGACCAAATGACTAAGTCATGCGCTCAAGCAAGGTACCATGTGCATAATGTCATCCGGTGATGTCAGCGGTAATGTAGGCATGTGGACTTTTCTACCTCTTTTAATATGCCTGCCGCATTTTACTTAAGGTGCATTCTCAATCAAGACATTTAAGGCTTTTGCGTTAAACGACCATCTGTCTCAGATAACTGCAACTCTATCTATTGTGATGGGCTTTTAGAAGGTATCCGACTTGTGTGTATGAAAAATCGGGTTCACATTAGAATAATTACATTATTTTCACTGATCAGGTGTCTAACTGGTCAATTAGGAATTGCTTGTGAAGCAAAAGCTTACAATATTGCCAAAAAGTGAGCTAGTTTTTGAACTTCAGCATTCCCATACAGCTTAGACTTACAAGCAGAGCTCCGGCATTTGGAGTTTTTTTATGCGATAAATATCAGTCGGTCATGTGAGATGGTCCTATTAGAGGTTATATAGTATTCAATCTTTAACATTTTACAGCTGTTATGTGCTACTGTAGCACCACCTCGTGGCAATGTTTTCAACAATAGTATGCAGAACTATAACAGCAATGGCCCCACTCACGGTGAACTAGTCATGTTCCCGCTGCCTCAACTGGAGATATTACTATATTGTTCCTTTCGGTGAGCGCCAATTGTCTGGTCGAGCAGAGGTCGGCAATAAGTAATCTTAGTTGTTGGACATGCTTGATTCTACACCACGCAAAGTGACATTGTCTCCAAAAGTGGTTGTCTCGGAATACGGCCCCTCATGCAAAGCGGTGAGCACTAAAGCTCTCTATTCTGTCGCAAAACTTTCTGTGCCTTCCGTCCCACCCTCCCACTATGCTTGCACTGGCTGCTTGCTTACTGCTTGAGAATGTCATCCGAGTTATGCTAAAATCTTGGCATATGGACATGCAGTACTGACAGAACCTTGTAATCAAACTTGTAAACACAACACTAAGCAGTACCGAGCTACAGCCAATGAATAACTCAAGCTTGTAGAAAAACTCTGTGAAGGAAGTCGGGGCCACTTACAATAAGGCAGTATGGCTCCAGAATATTGCCGACTTCCCAGTTGTTCTCCGTGCCAGACGTGTCTGCCGCGGGTTCGTGGCTGTTCTCGATTCCAGCCGCCATCTCCATGGATCGCGGGAGGTAACATACGTTCAGGAACTTCATGTCTTCGTAGAAGTCCCACTTGGAAGTGTACGCTTCCTCCCCGTTCCCATTGATCGTCCCGTTGTGTTTGAGCACCTTGTTGTACTCACGGAAGAAGTAGGTTCGCAAGTTGTGGAACTTGTTCTTGCATTCTAGCACTGCGTATGGAAAAAGAGAATGAAGCGAAAGAAATGGAAACTTAATCCTTGGTTCATTCACAGGTTTTCCCAAGTTACATCTTACAAGTGCATGCATTGCAAAGGACTTTAGTATCCTTCTGTTATCACGCTACTTCTGCTGCAATTTTGGAACGTTTAATGATTGCACAATACGTAGTGATAGTCATTCACTTTATATAGCATATTTTTATCACAGAATACTGTTATTGCTATTAGATACTACCAAAATACAAGTATGCATCATGCTGTTCCTTTGTAAGCATTCACTGAACATGAATGACGCATGGCTATTAGGGACAGTAGGGTGTACGCATTACGCTGCGCCCTCATAAGCTCTACCAAACATGAATGACACAGTGGCTGTTAGTGACTGTAGGGGGTGAAGTAGAAATGCAATTTGTATGATAGCCCAACTTTTGGCTACACTTGAACACAGCAGTCTTGCAAACAACCCACAAGTTACATCATTGAGAGTACTTTTAGTCTTCACTGCCGTGTGGCAAACGCACTGACCTGCAGTGAACTTCAGCGGGTTATAGATTATCCTTGCTGCAAATGTGAGTCAACATTCCAGGTATGAAGATGCTTTACAGTGCACACTAGTGTATGAAAGCATATGGATCACACTAGCACAGATCTTTAGTCAGGCACCGTGGGAAGGGACAACTGTAATTCCAACTTTTATTGTACAGACACTTCATGAACTTGTTAATTTCTAACTGTTCATATTAATTAAGAAGTAAAGGAATATTTCTTAGAAAACTGTGGCCCATGCGCTTGAGCTCATGAACACCTGGGAGCAAAAGTACATGTGAAGCCCCTTGATCTTGGGAAAGTACCACCATCCATTGTAATCGCCAGCAGCGCACTGCGACCTCCTCTCTCCCTTTTTGCCCCAATGGAGTCTTCCCGTCCTCCGCCTCCGTTTTTGCACAATGATTGGTCTTCTTTCGCGGTTGCCCTTGGAGACGCAGTAAACCTGCTGTTGTGCTGGTATTTTTCTATTTCGCTCGCACCATTTTTCGCTGGGGCTGTGCATAGCTCGTGGAGCAAACGTTGCGCACGCTTTGTTTTCTGCACTGTTTACTGGTGTTATGCCATGTGGTTGCGCTTACAACTGTTGCAACCAGAATACAAGGGGTTATGATATTTTTTTCTAAATATCCATGGTAAGCATGATGGCTTTGGTAAGAGCCAGTAGCAACACAACATCGGCTGAAAGAACTTAGTTCCCTCAAAAAACATCATCTCTGCATGATACAGCACTTTATTTTTTATTTTAAGCAACACTGAGTGTTGTGCTTAAGTACTATTTGTGGCTGATCAACATCGCCTTTTTTTTCTCAGCTAACTATGCATTGCATAAAAATAGGGTTCTCTTCAATATGCTAATTATTCTGCCAAGATTCCATCAACTCGCACATCAGAAACTCTTATTCAATCTGAAATGAGCTCCAGATGTGCTTTTCACAGTGAACAGTTAGCTTCTCAATCACACTTTTCGTCATTGTTAGGATACGCTGAACATGAATGTGGAAAAAAAATAAGGAAATTGACGAATAGATCAAAAAGACACTGCAGATGGTCTCCAAACGTAGTTCTTTCTTTATGAAGGGAGGGAGGTATTCACACTCAAAATAATGACACGAGTGGGAATCGGTTCTAGCAAAAATGAAAAACGCAAGCACTGCGGGCAATAAAATTATTAAGAAAAAACAATAACCTCCTGATAGCAAAAATGAGCTGTTATGTCACGTGACGGTACAGTGATATAATGAATTTTCCCACGTGTGACATTGTCATCGTATGGTGACATCATCTCTTGATGATGATTTCATCACCCGCTCCCGACGATGATAGACACCTTCTACGTGGGAAGTGGACGATCCTCTTTCCCATTTCACGAGGCACCTAAGGTGAAAACCTTAATGGTCAACACACCCTTGATATTGCATTTGAGCAGCATCAGCTAGCAAGCATTCAGTATTTTTGGGTTTGTGAAATCGCTTTTGAATTTGGATGACACACATGGGTGACTGGGCGTCAATTTGTTTTTTTCGCGCATACAGATGACGTGCAAGGGGTGTTCATGTGATCGCTTGCTGATCATATCGATTTCGAGGCAGATGCCTAAATTCCTCGCTCTCATAGCAAATGCTATGAGAGCGAGGTAACAGAAATGCAGCAGTGATCAAAAATAGGGCACTGTGGAATTACAATAGGTATGATGTTGTGAGAGGAATATGGAAAGGGGTCATGGTTCCTGGGCTGACGTTCGGCAATGCGGTCTTGTGCATGAGATCAGAAGTTCAAGCAAGATTAGAAATTAAGCAACGTGGAATAGGTAGGCTTGCTTTAGGAGCTCACAGGAATACACCAAATCAGGGAGTACAAGGTGATATGGGATGGACATCATTTGAGGGCAGGGAAGCTAGCAGCAAGATAAAATTTGAGAAGCGATTGAGAGAAATGGGGGAGGAGTGTTGGGCTAGGAATGTTTTCAGCTATTTGTACATGAAGAATATCGATACAAAATGGAGGAAGCGAACTAGGAAATTGACTGGTAAATACTTAGAAAACAGCAGGTGGCCAAACCAAAAAGAACTATCGGTTAAGAAGAAAGTGAAGGAAACGGAGACTGACAAGTGCGGAAATGGCATGATTAAGAAGTCTGCACTAAAGATCTATCGAACTTTTAAGGAGGAAATTGCCAAGGAAATAATCTATGATAATACTCGGGGTAGTTCTCTACTGTTTGATGCCGGGACGGGAGTATTGCGAACCAAGATATATCGGGCCAAATACGAAGGGGTAGACACGGTATGCAGTGCATGTGGAGAGGAGGAGGAAACTGCCGAACACTTGATCATGTTCTGTAAAGGGCTTCACCCTATAGTTCAGTAAGATGGTGCAGAGTTTTTCAAAGCACTGGGGTTTAGGGACAGAAAGGGCAAAATAGACTTTAAGCGGGTAGAATTAACTAGAAGAAGGTTATCTGATTGGTGGATAAAGTCAATGCACGAGTGAAAATTGAATCCTTCACTTCAAAGTAGCAGTCCTCAACTTCACTATTTAAAAGGAAAAAAAAAGATAAATCTAGTGGTTAGTTAACTAAGTATTATGGCTAGGTGGCGTTAGCCGCCGCCCGATCTAAAGGGTAGAGCCACATCTATCTATCCATCTATCCATCTATACTGTCGAATGCATCACTAGAGCAACGCTCTGGATAGCAAATGGCTTGTCACAAGGTGGCAATTTCGGCATGCATTCCCATGGTCTGCATACTTTTGATCACTGGTGTACATACACATATCTGCTAGTTCCTTTGCGCGATACTGCTGGTGGGTGTTCTTAGAACTGCTAGTTCGGGCACATTGGGAATGCAGTATGAGCTAGATTACGTAGAGTACATTCACTCTTCCTTTTTCTTCTGAGAGCAAACAAGTTATTCTGAGAGGTGTGCTCCAAGTGATGCGTGGAAATTTGAAGGCACGTAATGTTCATAAACTGCGGATCGATTACCAAGAAACGAAGGTCGGTCTTGTTATGATATGACATATTTGCCCGCTTAGTGCGTATATTCGTACAGAAACAAACGAGAATCGAGACACTCACTCGAACACCCGAGCGTACTGCACAATTCGAGGATCTTCTTGTCTCGGAAGCCTCCTCTTCTTGTAGTCTGGATGAATCGGATTGTAGCAGAAACTCGTTCTCCTTGAAGAAGTCGATGAGTATTTTCTGCCTATCATTACTCCACAGAACTGCAAGAGAAACAGTCCTTACGTCACACGTATCACATTGACACGCCAATCATCTGAAACTTGGGACACCTAGAGCGGTTATCTGTGGATTGACCAAACTACGCATCTGAAATCTAAACCTGATTGGGATCGGCACATGTGCTTGATCGATACAATTGGTATATACAGCTCGGATCGAAGCGCATTCACTTATGAAATAGTATCATGCAACAGCGTCTTACGATCATGGGAACAAACGACACCAATGAGAGCCGCGATCTAAAGCACGGGTGTGGAACAACGAATAAATGAAAAGGGCAATCCAATGCACATCAATCTTAAAGCCACGTTTTAGCACGAATAGCAACGCACATCGAAAGACGGTGATGAATGTCATTAAAAGGCCGTCAAACCCTTTCATGCCGTGGGCACTATGGCGATCAAACGAATGAACACAATCATTTGAGGCGGCTCACCGGTTTGTGCTCCATTTTGCACGTGTAATGTGTGAACTTAAGGGACAAAAACGAGCCACTAGAGTTGTGATCTAGGCTACGGAGGGAAGCTTTGACGGCATTTTTGTCGACCGCTAAACAGCGGCCAATGGCCCAATGGAAACCAAAAAAGAAACCAACTTGATAACGCTGCGCTAGCGATTGGAATGAGTGGTTTTAGAACAGCACCGGGTTTCTACGAAACTCATTCGCACTTTAGACTAGACCAGAACCTCTCTTTCTCATTGTTATAGCAGTAGTCTAAAAGATAAACATTACAATTACAAGGTAACGTGTGAGGTTTGCTTGATAGCCTAACGAAAACTAGTACGTTTACGATGTTACCATAACGATACACCAGTCGCTTCACGCCGGCTGCGTCAAGGGGCGCTGCCTTCAGTTTGTTGTGTTTGTAACCGAAATGTAAGCCTAACTACGGGAGGATGTCACTTTTGCCACCGTACGAAATTTTGTTATCGTAAATACGGACTGCGGCAAGTTGGGTTACAAGGTAAGAGCCTTCTACATGTCTGCCTTTCCGTTTCTTTCGTGTAGCGGTTACATGGGAGCGGTCTACAGCATCTGAAGCGAGCTCACACCGATGCGTGTGTGCCAGTCATGTGTACGCATTCGTTTTTTCATCCAACAATTTCGCTGCTAGTACGCGAACTAGCGTGTTTACAGCGATGGAATCGCGTAGTTACGAGAAGTAACTTTATTTACGAGAGGGCGGGAAAATTTTGGCGCGGTCGGGAACAGGCGCTGCACGCGCGCAACCTAACTGCGTACACTGACAGATGTTTGTGTTGGATGATGTCCAAGCTCTCTCAGGATCCCCTTCTTATCTGACAAAGGCTTGTTGACAATCGCATTTTATATATGGGCACAACGACGTTTAGCGTGGCAATGCTATCTCCCGACAAGCCATGTCCTAGTAGGACTTGGTTGCGCTGTTTTCTTGTCTCGCACGTTCAACGACAGCAGATCCACGTTAAAAAAATTTTTTTTTTTCTACTGAGGAACTCTCGATCGTGCACGTATCCACTTCGACCTCCAGTGTCTCTGCAGGTCGTCATTGTTAAAACCCTGACGCGTGCAAAACACCGAGAAGTCTTGCGCGAGTTTCAATCTCCGCCGGAGCACCGTCATCGTCGCAGTGCCAAAGCACCAAGAAAACTCGCGCTGGCACCGCCTCAAGTTTTATTTGCGTCTTTTTGGGGCGGTTATTTTTATTCCGATTCCCCCGAAAACTCGTTTTCAGGCCGCGCACCGTGATTAAGAAATCGCTCGGGTGCATGCTCGATTGCTCCACCCATTCACTGAAACGCAGGGTGTGTTTTCTTTGCATTCATTACGAGTGCAAGCGCTTTTCCGGCGCCGAATTCAGGGCACGTTTTCAGAGAAACGCTGCCGGTTCTTTTAACAGCCGTGTTTTCTCATATGTTCGTATCTCCGCTTTCTTTCTCTCTCTCTCTCTTTTCACCCATTCTTTCAGGTTCCCGGGATGACCGCTCGCGTAAGCAACTCTCTCGCGTCAAAGTTACGGCGACCGGTGTTCGCTTGGTTAAAGGCCTTGTGAGTGCCATCCGGCATAATACACAAGATCCCACTCAGAGAAACACTGTTTAGAACAATTTCGTTGTCTTTTACAGTGTCAAAATACGGACAGCCTCGCATTTTTACTGACAGGAACTCAAACTGTCCATAACTGACAGCACTTGTCGCCGCATGGCCATGTGAAGGCAGGTAATTTCATAGAAGTTTCGATTCCGCATTATTGGTAGACAACGTAGCGAAAAGAAAAAATGAATAAATTGCAGATGTGATGCCTTTAATCACTGAAGCAAATACATTCTGTCGCCGCTGGAAATGAAACTCGAGTGCACATCTTCCAGTGCTGCAGTCACAAGCATCTGTTCTCCAAAAGTGCTCCAAAAGTGCGGCATAGCTCTGCATAAGCAACACATTACATCGTATTGCAGCAGCAAAAATTCTGTTTATGATGAACCCGAACATAGGGATAGCTGAATTCTTGTGCCTTTGCTATCTACAAATATTTTAAAGGGACCCTGCAACGATTCTGATGGCTTTTTACAAACACATTGGGTTGGTAGATCAAGTCCCAAAGGTAATTTAGCGACAGAGTTGAGCTCTCTGCATAAACTGTGTAATTGATTACAATGTTTGAAAGCTGCACATCGCTGCAACGTGGCCAACTGTGTTTTTAACCGCCCATACACTAAGCGACACGTTCTGCCCCACTGACATCATCGTTTTCAGCTGATCTAATTGGCTGTGGAATGCGCAGCACTGACTGCCGATATCAGATCGGCGACGAGATTTGCATGTATGCGGTCTCATGGTCACATCATGACGCAGGCGCCAGGAAGGCAGAGCTTAGCCTCGAGCGGCCAAAGGAAGAGTTGAGGGTGAAAGGCGGAGCGAAGGAGGAGGGTACTTTTTTAGTACTCGTAGCTTCATTAATAATAGGTGCTTCGATTGAACTCTGGTGTCAATGATTTGCTCCAGTAGTGGTCCAATCAAAAACGGAATGTGAAAAAACTGTTTCAGGGACCCTTTAGTGAGTACCAACACAAAATATTGCTCATTTTCATTAGTTGGCTATCAGCCTAGTGGTTACACCATAAAATGTTGGTTTGACGAGTTCAACATAAAATTGTTGTCTTTTAAATGCAACAAGTTCAGAATTCTAGTACACTAAAGACATTAAGGATCTGGCAATTATCGATGTCACTAAAACTCTGGTGACACTGTAATATATGCTTTGGGGGGGGGGTATAGAGGGGGTGATATAATGCACATATCTTTCATTTTGACAAAAGGTAAATGTAAGAAGGTTGGCCACCCACCCAATGGGACAAGAGAGAAGGGTGGGTTTGTGTGCAGTCCCAGGAAAATTGCATAATTGTGTTTCTCGTCATGGCATATTTGAATCACACAGTCGCCTCTTTGCCACCAGTCTTGTGATGACCTGTACGTTTACTTTCAGCGACGTTAATAGTCTCCTTTTTGACGTGCAAAGCCACTTTGAGTTTGGTTTTAAAAAAGTCAAATGAAAGGAGTTGCAGATAATTGTGCTGCTTTTGACTAACAAAAGCTTCATATTGCAGTTATTGAGTCAACCGCTGATCATAGGCTTTGACAGCGTGCTTATAAACTAGGGAAAGAAAATGCCTTTAGAATGGCTGTCTTTATTTGATCTTATAGCAGACCCTAATGGGACTTGACAATTAGGTAATCTTCCATGCAACCTCTATCAGCAGCTGTAGTTATCACTTGTTTAACTCAGCTTATTGTAGCTTTGATTTAGCTGAATAATAGGACATTCGTATTACGTTTGCTTCTATTTATTAACAATGGAAACAGTAGTTTAAAAGCAGGAAACTGTTTCACTTACGTCTCTCCAGTGCCTGTTAGGCTGAATGCCTGCTAGCACGAAAAAAAGATCAGCTGCCAAACCCTTTGCTGCTTTTTCTTTCAGTTAGTGTGGGTCGCTAACACCACATGTGGCGAACGGTATGACCATATAGCATCTTGCATTGGCTTCGAAATGGTTCTGTACAGTGGCTGATTTTGAAGAACTATTGATTGGTGCGACCCCGTGGGACATGGGAAAAAGAACGTTAAGCTGAAGATGTGTTGATACTGTCGGTCATGAGTGTTACTTCACGTCGCCTGTTGAAAACTCAAGGCAAGCTGGTTCCGCTAAGAGCTCGAGCCACTCCTCAGGCATGTAGTAAAGGACGCAATGGTCTCTCTCTTGTCTAAAAAGGAAAACCTATTGAAATGCAGTCAATAGCACTGGAAATTCTGTATTCAAGTTTACACAAGCAATAGTGTAATTGAGCTTTAGCCCATACCTTTGTAATTATATCTAGCTAGTGTGATTTCTTACCGCACTTTAACTGCTCACAGTCAAGCTGAGCAACTGAAGGAATTAACAGCTGGAAGTAATGTTAGTTTTCTCCTTCTGAAAGAATATCTGGGAGTGTGTCGGGGATGCTGCATGGTCCAAGCTTGTTACAATGAAGTACGAGTTACTATGTATATGAGAACTTTTTGCACTTGGGTTTGCTACAGCTGAGATTTTACTTTGCATCTTTTTGTTCTACCCAGATGTCTGAAGCGGGTTCCGATGCCGAAGTGAGCTCAGGGTTCGGACATCGGTTACGAGGACTACTACAACTGCCCAGAGGACTGGGGAAATTGACCAGCAGGACCAGAAGAAGCAGGATCCTGAGTACTTTGAGTTTGAGTGCCTATTCATCGAGGATGTGGAGCGACTACTCAACGAATCTGTCGAGTCCATATGTGCTAGCCTCAGCGTGAGTTCAAGTACCATTCTGATTTGCACGGTTTTACTCTAGTGCAGCAGTTTTGTTACTATAGTAATCGTGCGGCCATCCAATGTGCGTTTGTACCAGAACAGTTAGCAGCTTTTGAGACTCGGCGGCACGGTGCAACCCCAAAAGCGACATGGCCTGCTGAACAGACTTCGTGTTCCACTCGGTTGGCCCTGCCCAAGCCAGGGTGGTCTCGTGATTTTTGCTGTTTGCAGGAACATTGTCTGTGGACGCGTCAATGTTGCTGCTGTGTAAATGTGTGCATGGCTTATGAACGTGACTAAAATAGACCCTAAACGCCAATCTTCAGCACTTCGTAGCATTAGTCGTCACACTAGCTCTATAAATACTTGATACTTCTAAGGGTGCATCTGCTGCGTAAAATGTATGGGTGCGCAAAACTGTAATATAGCAGTGGTGATGAAATTGTAGAGCATCTGCTTCACTTGCCAGAGGTTCCGGGCTTGAATCCCAGAGCCACTGTGTGCCCACCAGTTTTTATGATGAGGGAGAAAGGTTACCCTGGCACGTGCTTGACGTTCTGCATAACCATTTCTTCAGAAAGTGTCCCCTCTTTACTGCTGCTGTCTTTTACTTTCTTCCTCAGTGGTGCTGCTCTATGCTCCCTTATGGGTTGCAGAAGTAAGCATCTCTCCTATCTTCAAAACCGTTCCATACGCCACCAGTTGCCATGCGGGCTACAACACACCATGTTGCTTCCATAGATTATAACGCTGTGCGAGGAGCTTCAGTGTAGCATGTAGGCCTTTGCAGTGCTTGTATTCTGTATGGGCAAACCAGCATTATTTTTGGATTGCTTTTCTTGCTTGGCCAATTGGCTGAATAATCATGAGAAACAAAACTTGTGCTATGCTTTTTATTTATCTAGTGTTACTTTCATATCACCCACTTATCAGCTGTGTTGATTAAATAACTTGCAGTAATTACAATACCTAGTCATTCAGTTTTGTTCCTAATAATTGGAGTACTAATAGTAACTAGGCATGACTGAAGTGGCTCAGGGTTTCCTGCAGTTCATTTAAAACATCTATGGAACCTTAATTATGGAAGTCTGAGGTTGCCGAACTGTTATTGTGGAGTCACCTAGCCTCATGGAGCATTTTGGAAATTAATATTGCTCGGTGTACTTTTTTTTCGGTGATGCCTTATTAACAAGTAATGTGGAAAGTGCATTACTATTATTTTAAAAATAATTGCTACTAACTTATACTCTCTGCATTCAGGTGATGCCCTCTCTGGCAAAAGTCTTGCTCCACACGCACAATTGGAATGCACAAGAGATCATCCAAAAGTACAAGCAGAATGCAGCGCAAGCTTTGGCTGATGCAAGGATCAAGCCACTTCGATCCGCCGCTGTGGATATGCAGGTGGGAGACTTACTGCGTCTTTGTGTGAATCCGCCACACTAGAGGCTTCGCAGCCTTAGCACCTACTGTGGTGTCTTATACTGCTGTGACACTCTCATTTTTAATTGCGATCGGGCCTGATTTGAAGCGAGCTTCTTTATTTTAGTAGGCTCTGTTATGCGAACTTCAAAACGAAGCCAGTCGCCATTGCGGAACTTGAACCCTGTTGGTCTTCATGCCGATCCGCAACGCACTGTGTGACGCCTGTATTAGTGTCTGCAGCGTGACCCTGTTCAGGGGCCCCTTAATCGCCCGGTCGAAGTTTAGTCGGGGTGTTGCAGTTGTGCGCGAGTCCAAACAAACACACAGCCGTGACAATTTTTTCGAAACTGCGTCGTAATACAGTAGACTCCTTTTAAACGAAACCTGAAGGGACCAGGAAAATGGTTTTCATTCAAGAGGAGTTTAGTTTACTCGGATATAAACAGGGGTATAATATTCAAGTACGAAAGCAGTCATACTAGAGGCAGGTGTTTCATTTAAGCAGCAATTTCGTTTAAGAGAGTTTTGTTTAATGGGAGTCTACTGTAGCAGTTACGTGGTTTTGACGATCTGCAGCAGGCCCTTGCTCATTTCGCTCTTTCCCTAACTAATTTATTGGTGTCTCTCCTCCTTGCCATGTGTTCCTCCTCGCTGTGGGAGGAGGAAGGGCAGCAATCGCGCGTACTTGCAAGTCTGCAAACAGATGCGGCAGATGACAAGCTGGGGACTTGTGGACGTGACCGCAAATGTTTCAGCAAGGAATGCTGAAAGGCATGTAGAGGAGAAGGAATTGTTTCTTGGAATGTGTGGGGTGCCTGAAGCTCATAGTAGGGTTGAGTTTGGCATGTTTCATCGTGACGGCATCTGAAGTCGATGTGTGCACACTTACTTGAAATGTTAGAAAAGTTATCACGGGTGCTTTAGGGACTTTCTTATCGTAAGGCGGTGGTTTGATTTCTGGCCAGAGCTAGTGTATTTAGATAGGGGCGAAACCCAAAAAGACAAATGCACTGAAATTTATGTGCTCATCAGAGAGCCCCAGGTTGTCAGAATTAATCTTGTGTTCCTCAACTCACCATGCTTTCTAGTCATAATTATGTCATGGTTTTTGCAGGTAATGTCCCAGAATGTCATTCCGGATTATGTAGTGGTCACTTAGAAGTACTTGTGAGTACTGCAGACATGACCGAGAAAATCTGGCGGACACATTTGTTGCCGTTATCAGCTACGCACCATAGCGTCAGGATTTACTGGTTCAAGTATTACTGTGTCACACAATTCTATTTGCCAGCTTGCAGTAGCTTTGCTTGTCCAGATGCTCTCAGCGTGTGAGGCGAAATACTTTTTTTTTTTCATCTATTTCTGTTTTTTGTGTTTTCAGGCAATAAGGAAGAACCCTTCAGTCCAGTGTCCCATCTGCTTGCAGAGTTTTTCTGGCGAAAGGTTTAGGGGTCTGGCCTGTGGCCACTACTTTTGTGCAGACTGCTGGGCCATGCACTTCGAGATACAGATTCTGCAGGGCATCTCTACAGGTGCGTCACCTTCGTGAACTTGCAAGACTAGATGCTTTTCGAATAACGAGTGCACGCAGTTAGCGTCAGCTTCTTTTCGAGTGATTAATAGTGTATTGTTCACAATTGATTGATTTTAAAATGGCTACTGCCAGGCATCTTATGCAACTGAAATTGCACATTCAAAAACTAATCCTCTACACCTTAGGTGAATCAGGCGGAATATCACATTGTTAGTAGACATTCCATGTGAACCACTGAATAGAGTTTTGCAGTTTGTATTGGTTGCTAATTGGTAATGTTTACTTGCCTAGAATTTCGAATGCTTGTTTGAAGTCATAAGTTGTTTGAGAAATTTTATAGTGTGCTCAGACGTACTACGCATGTTCCCATAACTTCAATCTTTAGCATGCTTTATTATTCAGAATGCACAAGGAAAGCTTCGTAAACACTAAAAAGAAAACCAAGTCACCATTACTGTCTTGTGCATCGGTAAAGCATTACAGTCAAACCTCAATATATCGAACACGGATATATCGAATTATTGCCTATATCGAACGGGTCCTATATCACGCGGGAAATCGCATGCATTATTGATTTTTCATTTCGAACAAAGTTTGACATATAATAGATATATCGAACTCAGCCACCCCAAACCGCCCACGCTCTATTGACAGGAGGCGAGCTTTCCCGCAACTCTCGAAAGTAGCGGTAGAGCGGCGGGCGTTTACGAATGCTGCACACATCGATGGTGCCGAGACCGCCACTTTTAAGGTAGCGGCGTACGCGCGCTGCAGCCTTGCAGCTTGCAGTCGTTGCAGTCTCTATGGTGTCAACGGCACACTGCGCACTTGTTGGGAGGATTCACTCGCAGGATTTCAAGCTGGACGGTTGTGCCCTCGCGATCTCCGATGCCAGCGTAGCTCCCGCCGACTGGTTCGGCTTCCGTGGTCTCCCGACGCCGTGCAGCTCTCGCATTGTGGCGCCCTGCCCTTGGACTGCTTCAACCGGATCCCCACTTTCCTATCTCCTTCTTTTTTTCGTGGCTTGCCTGTCTATTTCTTCATCTATTTCCTTCTATTCTTTTTATCCCTCCTTCCCCCCACCCCTATAAGGCACTGCGTCGTGTTGCCTAAAGGCAGACAGAAATTAGGTTCCTTTTTCCTCTTCCTTACAACCACTACCACCACCACTTCTTGCAAGCTCTTCCCCTGTAGCATCGGCAGGCATCGGTCGTTGTGCTCGTAGTGTTCATGCATTCAGAGTTAGGCCTGTCGCGCGCTGTGGTGCGCGACAGGCCTAACTCCGATTGGCGGAGCTCACGGATGTGGAGATTGTCGCCGAAGCTACTGCTGAGCAGCTAAATGAAGACTCTGCCGAGGTGGATCCCGCAAGCGCTGATGGTGCCCCGCTCCCGACATCAGCTGAGGTCGTAGCTGCCTTGGCCCTTGTGGGCCGCCACTGCGGCGCGATTAAAGGCACCGGCCTATCACTTATGGATCGCCTGGACTATATTGACGACGCAGTCGTCAAACATGCCATGGCCAACAAAAAGCAGGCTACTCTTTTTCAATATTTTAAACCAACACAATAAGTACTATGTTTGAATCTTCAAGTGAGTATTTACTGCACCACGCTTGAACGGTTCGTTGGTTGTTTTCAGTAAGCTGTTGACGCATTTTTTTCGTGATTTTTTTATATCGAATTCTGAGTATATCGAACTATTTCGTGATCGCCGCGCCATTCGATATATCGTGGTTCGACTGTACTCTTTATTGTGTTGTCAAGTTTGTTCTTAAACTAGTACTGGTACGAATGCGAAAATTCTTGGGTTACTGCTCTTAATTAGAGTAATGGTGTCGAGAACACTAAGACAAGTATTGCGATGCATGGGTATGCATCGGAGATATTTTTTATAGTTACTTAAAATAAACACTTTCGATTTCGATATCTACGGGGTGGCTTCTCAGTGACATGTCAAAGCAGTGCGACATTACAGGAAGACAGCAATCGGTGATATATTAACGGCAAATCTGTCATCTGCTCGTGGTGCACGTAAACAACGATGAGTGAATTGTCGTCCTGCGACCCCGACAGTAACTTTTGCAATGTAGGCTGCATACACTATGCCGAGCTAGTAAATTTAGGGACTGTCCTGACTCGTTGGGATAATGTACTTTGTAGGGAAGGCTGGCTTGCTGATGCTCATTTAGAAAACGTTAAGCTCAAAGTAAAATATTTTATATGTGTTGCCTGACTCCTTTGCACGGAGGGCGTTGACGCTGCATGCCCAGGAAACGAAAAACGCCCCTTTTGCGATGTCTTTAAGTTGTCGCATTACTCCTTTAAATATGATTTTTTCGTGTGTTGAGATAAAATATGTTTTTGGAAACGGGCCAAGTCTCTCTTGTTGCCTCTTATGGCCATACTTGTCTTCTCTAAATGTGAGTTGAAGGCACTGCGACTGAAGCTGCCCCTCGCCATTTTCGTTCGCCTCTAGCCATCGAGTGCATGGCACAGTTCTGCAACATTCTGGTGCCGGAAGATTTTGTCCTGAGCCTGCTGAGCAAATCGGTGTTGCGCGAGAAGTACCAGCAGTTCATGTTCTCCGACTATGTGCGGGTGAGTGATGCCCAAACCTCATTATAACAAAGTTTCATCTTGCATGAAAATAAGTTTGTTATATCTAAAAATTTGTTTTAAAGGTTTATTTCAAACACTATTGCAAGATTCTTTTCCATTTACTTTGTTATAACCGAGATTTCGTTATAACTGGGTTCATTATATCGAGGTTTGAGTGTAGTGCATAAAAACAAATGTAGAAAGCAATACTAAATCACTCTAGACTAGTAGGCCTCGCTGCGGTGTTCTAGGAGCTAAAGCACTCGGCTGCTTACTCGCGCGTCGCGGGATCGAAGCCCAGCTGCTGCGGCTGCATTTTCAATGGAGGTGAAAATTCTGTAGGCCCGTGGGGTCAGATTTGGATGCATTTTAAAAAACACCAGGTGGTCTGAATTTCTCGAGCCCTCCGCTACGGCGTCTCTCGTGATATATGGTGGTTTTGGGGCGTTAAACTCCACAAATCAATCAATCGACTCTAGACTGGTAAAACATGATTGTAAGTGCATCAATTTTCACAGCTGATGTTGGGCTACAGTAATTCGTTTTTTCACATAGCAAGCAATTCTGCGATGGCTAGAAAGACGTTTTAGTAGGCCTATGTGGGCAACCAAAAAATTCGGTTTGTCACCAAGGTTTCTCTCGGTGGTGGTTCGTTGACCACCTTTCTTTTCGCTTTCAACAGAGTCATCCTGAGCTGCGCTTCTGCCCTGGTCCCAACTGCAACGTCATTGTCCGAGCCAAAGAAAACAAGAGCAAGAGGGTGGTCTGCAAAAACTGCAAGACGACATTTTGGCGAGTGCTCTCTTTCTTTCTGCATAGATGTTGCCACAAAGGTGTGGCGGCTTGGCAGTCGGCTAAGTTATTCATACAATTGTAGGTCAACGAATTTTATTCAAGTGTAAAATTCGAACATGGAGGGCAGACTTACAATTGAAGCCGAAGACAAACAATAATTGAAAACGAAGACAAACGAGAAACGAGGGATGCTGCATTGTAGTTACAGCACTGCATTTGCTTTTTGCCTCCACCTGTAGCACATAATTATTCTGTCTGTTGTTCTGAAGAAAAACAAATTATCTTTTTAATTTTTGCTTTTTGTCATCAGTAGCAGCGCAGCAGATTGAAAGAGCAGCTCTTATCTGCTTGAAGTGTTGATTGTGGCAGCTGCTTGAGGGAGCAACAGTATCTAATAGAAAAGCTTCTCCTTTTTTGGCTTTCTCCTTTTTCTTTTGTCTCTCTCCTTTATTTTTCTCTCTCTCTCTTTTTTTGACAACTGCACTCTGCAAGCAGGCAGGGATTAAACTCTGGTGGGTGTTGCTTTCTACTCTTCGCATCGCCCCCTATTTTTCTGCCTTCGTCTCTGTAACTACATACACTTTTCTATGCCGGAGTCGGCGTCTGAAGGTTTGTTACCTTATGCATTGAAGCAAACATTGCCCGGGCGACTATAATGCACAGCGATAGTTTTTAAAGGGATTTTTTAAAGTTACACTGCTGAAGCTTTCATGATGCTTGAATAATCTGAAGCATGCAAAGTTCTTCTTGTTGGCTGGTTAAGTAGCAGTGAATGGACAGGCAACATTTGTGATAACTGTTATGGCTTGTAACTAACTCGGACGTGAGATGTTACATGGCATCATAACCTTTTGTAAGACACCAGTGCACGGAGCAGAACGTGCAGTAAAAGTTTCGCTGGCATGCTGAAGACCTTGGGAAGCCTGCATTGTCACCCTTAAGGGGGGGAGGTGGCATTGAAAAAAAACTTTTTTGTTTGTTGCCTAGAGCAATGAAATTCGGCATGCATTATGATGATTGTCTTGAATAGGGAAATATGCACTTTCATCATGATACCTTGAAAGTTACATCATGCTGCGTGGTTTGACTTACCTATATGGTCTGCTTGTGGAAAGCCTAGCGCTGTAACAAAACATGCCAGAAAGCTGCAAATGGTGTTGATCTTCACTAAAAAAAAGACTATTTGGTATGGCAATCTCAGAATTTTTTTATCACTTCTTTTTTTTTATAGAGATCATCATGGCTGCCTACACACATTGTCAGAAACAGTGTCATGTACAGTCATCTTTTAGAAAAAAAAAAGTGAGCCGTAAACAAGAATTCTAAGATTGCCACACCTGCAAGAAATGTTTTGGAATTCAGAAAAAAAAAACTTCAAAATCCGTCCAGTCATTCCCGGGCTACACGTTTTACGAGCAATGCACAATGTCCAAAACACACTTGTGAGAAAAAGCATGTCGAAGTTTTCGACAGTTTTTTTTTTTCGATGAACTTGTTTCTGTTCGGATATTGATGAAAATTGGCACAGGCACTAAGAATGACCTCACAGTGCTTCCATAAAAATTTTGAGGTATTGCTACAAATGCTTTACGAGAGACAAATTATTTCTTAATTGAACCTCGTGGAGGGGCTGAGCGTAATGTCAAAAAAAAAAAAAACAGTGTTGAGAAAACTGTGTTCAAAGTTTCAACTTTTCTTTACGTCTCTAAGACACCTAAAAATTGTGATCTCAGGTTTGTCTTGTGATATTTGACTTCTCAGGCATCTGATATTTGACCAGTGTGCCTTGGCTGCCTTTTTTTTCCCCATAACCTCCTTTTCATGATTTACAAAGAACAAGTATGGATTTCAAACCAAGTTCTTTGTATGAAGGAGTGGTGTGATAGGCATGACAGAAAAGATTGTAATTGAATAAGACCATATACTGAAATGACTTCACATATGTCTTGTGCTCAAGTTGTAATTAGCATAATTAAGTACTTGATTACAAATAATCACTGAACATTTCTTTATTTGGAAAGAGGTTTATTGCATTAGAAAAATGGATCACACCATGATGGCCTACGCCTTCTTTCCAAATAACAAAGTTATGGGCAAAAGACTGGTGGCACAGGAATTTGTAGCAGTATAATTAATGACGCGAAATGGGAATATAAAAATTCGTGCCCCCGATTCATACATGCTCTTTTGCCACTCTAGCCGTGAAACGCATCATCATACAGCCGGTCGCGGAAGCTCTAATCTACAAGGCTTTCATTGCCTCAGAGCATTCATAGACGTTCGTGGTGATATCAAGCACTGCTCCAAGCACTTCTAAATCGCATCACAAAAGCTTATTGACAGCACTCCATATGACCGTGGAGTGCACGGCAGCATAGACAGTGCAGCCGGCGCGTAATGCTCTTGCCGGGGGCGTTCGGTGACGATGCGTGAAATGTGTAATTACGATCACAAAAAATTGCGCGCACTGCGCTTGACATCGCATTTTCGAGTGATGAAGCGCGAAACTGCTGTTCCGAGCAATCCTTGGCAGTGAAGGGGTGGGGGTGACAAGCTTGACTGTGCGGTCCGCTGCCTATGCGTAAAATGCCCACATGTGGTTCAGGAGCTAGCAAGTGATGCGCCTCATTCCTTGCGAAGAAGCACGTTGCCAAGAGAGCGCTAACGCATCGTTCCTGCCCGCAGTCTCGGTGTCAGCGGAGTTAGGGCTAAAGCCGACTCCTATGACGCGCGGCGCTCGTACATTGCGCGCCTGCTTGTAGTAACCTTATCGCGCATCCGCTTACTGCTCCTAACTAAAGCGTAACTTTATCCTGAAGTTATCATCTAGCCGTGAACACGTCACGAAGTAGTGATTTTCGAGAGCCATGTCCTCGCGACGCACAAGCAGCAGATGACGATCTCCCGGAGCGAGCATCGGGCCAATGGCGAGGCGAGCTGAGGCAACATGGCGGCCACAGCCAATCAAGGGCCTCGAAACGACCTTCAAACATTTCCTTTTGGTGGGCTTGTTTTTAAAGGGAGGAGCCAGCTGAAGCGGGAAAGATAAACACGGAGAAATGCTCTTTCCGATGAGCCCAAGAAGCCGGCTCCCGTCTCTACCATTGCGAAGCTATAATTTTTTTAAAATCACTGTTCTCTCGCTATTTCTGAAAAAAAAATTAGCTACCTAAATGGGTGAAATGAATTTTCCGAAGCTTTTTTGCGCGGTTTTCAGTGTAGATATTTTGGAATCAGATAGAAGAAGGGTTCCAGAAACTGAAAACTTGATTTTCAAAAAATCGATTTTTTTGCCATTTTTCGTGATCCCAAAGCTGCATCCTTCCTTAAAGAAATTCATTGACATCTTTGAGTAAAGCTTTTGTTTTTTGCATGTGCTCAGTTGCATTTTGTAATTTACCGTTCGTTTGATTTTTCCTGACAGCTTTCGGTGCGGGGGCAACTACCATGCACCGGCAGACTGTGATACGATCAAGAAGTGGATCACAAAGTGTGCCGACGATTCTGAGACTGCCAACTACATCTCTGCTCACACGAAGGATGTGAGTTGTGGGACTTCGGTGTCCTTTTTTTTTTACCGTGTCATTATATATACTTGCATTCTTGTAGCTGTGGCAGTGAGGCATAGAATCCGCATCAAGGCAATTTTATTTTTCATTCTACAAAGATGACTTATTGCCCCACAGCGGTGGTTTAGTGGCTAAGGCACTCGACTGCTGACACGCAGGTGGCGGGATCAAATCCCGGCTGCAGCGGCTGCATGAAAGTGAAAATACTGTTGGCCCGTGTGCTGATATTCAGATGCACCATAAAGAACCCCAGGTTGTAGAAATTTCCGGCGCCCTCCACTGCGGCAACACGTAATCATATGGTGGTTTGGGGACATTAAGCCTTACATATTAAGGTGACCTAATTTGCATGCCATTCTTCTGCTGTGGCTTTCTGGTGATGAGATTGCACAATGGTCTAAATAATGGGCTTGTGTTAAGGAAGGAAATGTATTTTCCAGCCCTGTTTACAGCTGCCAACTTCACACCTGTTTTACAAATGCTAATCTTAGAATTTTTATGGTCTCACTGTCTGGTTGCTTATGCAATTGAAAGATAATGAGTTATTTTGTGGTATTATCACTCTAGAAAAGTAAGTAATGCATGCTGGGTTCTTTTCAGCACAGCTTTCTTCAAGGCTTCCATTTCAGCGTTGAATATTTTGCATTCTGAAGGTTGAAATAAAAGCCGCATGTCAGATTCAAGGGGGACGGCCCATTTTAAAATGTTTCAGGTCTTTACAAGCTAAATTTTGGAAGGCGTGTAGGATACAATTTTCAAGTTTGAACGCTAGTATCTTTGGCGTGTTCAGATATTTATCTGTTCTTTTATTTTTATGTTTTATTTTTATGTAAAACTTTGAGAATGTAGTAGGTGTTCATAAACCTTTGTGCAAGTGCTTGTTGTAACTGTCATTGTGCTTACGGATATATTTTTCTCCTCTCTCTTACAGTGTCCAAGGTGCCACATATGTATAGAAAAAAATGGGGGTTGCAACCACATGGTAAGCAGTCCTTGCTACCCTGCACATAAATATGTTGACCAGCAATATTTGTTTCATGCTAGCATGCTAGCAGTTTTCACTTGAAAAGTGGTACGTGGCCCATGCAGAGTAGTTGTTCGTTTAAAGTGATTAACCCACCACAACCGACAATCATTCACTATGGCTAACAGATGCTACGTCTGACAGTGATCATAAGGTGTAGCACCAATGTCTATGGTAGGAGCCCCCTCAGCTAGCGACTGAATCTTCTTGCACGCTACCTGTGCGGACTACTCCACTGTCACTATAACATCGTCTTCATCCAACCTACATCCCATGACTCAGTGGTTTACCTGTACCTTTCTAATTGGCTGAACATGACACTGTAGCTTTTGCTGCGTCATGCATATTAGTTATGGTCAATTAAAGTGCAAAGGTAAGACGGTGTGCATTGGGCAAGCTTAGATTTGAAATATTTTGAAATATCACTTGCAGTCTTTCACTTGGTAGCCAAGTTTTTATTTTATCATTCGCATTTGTGTCCGTTTTAGCATCATTTGATAATGCAGCTCGTCTTGTGTTGTTTTTTCCTCTTTTTCAGCAATGTTACAGTTGTAAATACGATTTTTGTTGGATGTGCCTCGGAGGTACGTGTGCTCATTGCTTCCCATCTCGGCTTTGGTTGTGCGGTTGGGAATAAGTAAAATAGCAGCTAAGTTTGATTCTCAGCGCCTAGAGGGACAACTGCAAACCTGCCGGCTCTCCTGATTTGCTCGGGAGATTCCCAAATTTTGAGAAATTCTCGCGATTCGGCATAGTCATAAATCTCTCGTAAAAGTGCTAGTGCTACTGGGAACAGAAATTGATTACTTGAGACATTGGTTCTAATATTTTCTGATTGTGTGGAGGGCATCCAAGTCGCTTTTGTCGCAATTCGTTAGGGTCATGGGAAGAAGCACATTAAGAGTTTACTTTCTGCCACAAAACAGGCAAGATTTTGTCCTTGAACTAAGCACGCTAAGCGTAATGAAGTTACAAGTACCGTTACGATCACTTATGTCTACAAACTTTATTGCCAATCATTCTTTTGTGCTGGTGGTCCAGACTTGAGAAGCCATAGATTACCGTAATTACTCGAATCTAACGTGCACCTTTTTTCCGATTAAGCGAGTTCACAAATGGCATGCACGTTAGAATCGAGTACGATAAAAAAAAAAATGAATACGGTCATTCTATTGCCATCAGCATTTCCAAAATGGCTGCCCCCTACGTGCGTCGGCATGGCGCGTTGGCTATTTCTGCCTATGTGTTTCTAATCTGCGGCACTTCGTACGTGTACTGAAGAGTTCTTCATCTTGTAGTGCATTAGCATCGACGGCATGGAAGGGCCGACTCCAAAAACTTGAGTGCACCACGGTGCCGCTTTTAAAAGGAAAGTCATCACATGTGCAGAAACGGACAGAAATCGGGCCGCATCGCGGTCGTTCGGAGTTCCCGAAACGTGCGTGCGGGACTGGTGGAAACAAAAGCAGAAGATTGTCGACACCAAAGCTTCACGCAACTTCAGTGAACCACAGCAGGGTGGGTTTTCGCAAATTGAAGAGCTGCTCGGCGAGTATGTGCTTCAGCAGTGAGCGGCACAGCGGCCCGTGACGACAGAACTGCTGCAAGTGTGGGCTATGCAGTTAGCCTTAGAAAAAGGGCCAACGCGGAGCCAGTTTAAAGCAAGCAGGTGCTGGCTAACTAATTTTATGAAGAGGAAAGGCTTTTCCCTCCGAAGGCGAACGGGCATATGCGAAAAGTTTCCAGAGGAGTACGATGAAAAGCTTCACAGTTTTCAGAGGTTCATCCTAAACTTGCGGCACAACAACGGCTACCTGCTTAGGCAAATCGGGAATGCTGATCAGACGCCTCTTTACTTCGACATGCCTGGCACCAGCAACCGTCGAGAAGGGGGCGAAGCAAGCTCGCGTGCTGCGTGCTGACATTGGTACACGGTAAAACTACAGTGACGGCATTGCTCTGTTACACGTCAGATGGGCACAAGCTTCCCCTGTACCTCATATTTAAATGGAAGATGCTCCCGAAAGAAGTCCTTTTTTCGAGTGGTGTGATCGTGCGGGCCAAAGAGAAAAATGGGTGTGCGTTGCAATCGATGGCTTACTTTTTTTTTTTTTTTCGTCATGGAAACCGGATGCGCGTTACAATCAAGGGCGCGGTAGAATTGAGTAAATACAGTGATGTGTTCCCCTGTTTCAATCTCCTTTGTTTCTTTTAAAATTCGGAATCCAACATTATCTTACCTGTATCCGAACACGTGCCGTGAAAAACAGGCCCCATTTGCCCATGCATGTGTTAAGGTTTACCCGCAATAACATTTAACGCCTTGCTCACCTCCCATTCTTTGTTGCAGACTGGAGGACGCATGGTAGCGAATATTACGAATGCAGCCGGTATAAAGAGAACCCCAACATAGCCAACGAATCTGCCCATGCACAAGCAAGGGAAGCGCTGAAGAAGTACCTCTTCTACTTTGAAAGGGTTTGTATGCTTGTAAATGTAAGCCTATCATATTCACACAAATATACCGTATTTACATGATTGTAGGCCGAACCATTTTGTCTTAATTGGAATCTGAATTTGGGGGGGGGGGGGGTTCAAATTTTACCAAGTTATCTGTCCAGTTTGTATTTTTAATTATGCAGTGCTCCAAAGCATCAGCCCCCGTTGACTTCCAAATACATTCAGACCTCAGTATAACGAACCCCCATATAATGAAATGTTATTTATACCAAAACAAAGGAATATTGTCTTGTAATATATGTAGTGTTAGGAATATACCTTCCCGTGTACTCAGATTTGGGTGCACGTTAAAGAACCCCAGGTGGTCAAAATTTCCGGAGCCCTCCACTACGGCGTCTGTCATAATCAAATGGTGGTTTTGGGACGTTAAACCCCACAAATCAATCAGGAATATACCTTTATGATGAATATTTGTATTAGACAAACTCATTTTCGTGTAAAATGAAGGAAACATTGTTATGAGATTTCGAGTGTACACTCGAACCTTAATATAATAGACCAGGATATAAGGAAAGGAAATGTTGGTTATAACAAAGCAAATGAGAAATAGTCTTGCATTAGACGTAGTGTTAGGGTTATACGTTTATAACAAACTTTCGGGTATAACAAACTTATTTTCACTAAGGTGCAACTTTGTCATACTGAGGTTTGTGTGCAACTTTACTTCCTCCATGTATAGAGTAGCTGTTCATTGCAGCCAGAATTTATGAGAGCAATGCCTGTCTCGTTTTGACCAGTGGGAGAATCATGCCAAGAGCCTCCGGCTGGAGGAGATGACGCTGAGCGCCATCAAGAACCGCATCAATGCCAAGGTGATGGCCAACGAGGGGACCTGGATCGACTGGCAGTACCTGCTTGACGCGGTCACTCTCTTGGCCAAGGTGAGGGTTATCGACGTTTCGACTCTGGCTTGTCTGCAAAGGTTTTCCCTTGATGGGTGCATCTCGCGCAAGATTGTATGCCTTCAAACCTCATTGTAACAATGTCGCATCTGCCTCAAACCTACTTCGTTATAACAGAATAGAAAGTTGGGCGAGTTGGTGTATATTCATATTCTTTTTGTGCGCCGCTTTTCTTTTAATATGAAAACTACTTCGTTATATCTGAAAGTTTGTTAGAAAGGATTATTTGTAACCCTGTATTTATGGCAAAGCTAGTGGTCACTTACTTCATTATGACCGATAATTCATTATATTTCAATTCGTTATATTGAGGTTTGAGTGTATTCATATATGGCAGGAATTCGAGGCAAGATGAAAGCTTGAAGCCACAAAAATTTTTTGAACGTGGTGTGTCGCTGCAGCCAGCATTTCAGCAAGTACTCTAACCTCTCTACAGTGGACTCCTCTTAAGGGGAGAAGCGGGTCTTTTAGACCGAAAATCGCGAAAAAATACAATTTTTTGAAAAAGCTATATTTGGATTCACCCATTCTCGCTGCATAATCTCGCCAATTTTCACGCATCCCAGATTGGTAATTTAGCCATGAGAGTAGTTTCTGCGACATTAGTGAGCTGAATTTTTGGTGATGGATGTGTGAAAAATGGGCTTTTTCAGCACCGCGGTGTTGCCGTCCTACGCTTGCTACAGCAGCCGTCTTGGTCGCATACGAAAGAGCCGCCCTTTTTATTTCATATCCCTCCGCGCTTGTTTTCGTGCACTCAATATGCACGCCATGAATCCACGTTTAAAAAAAAGCCCCCTCGCGTGAGCCTATTGGTGCGGTTAGCACACATAACTAAATTGCGCCTTCCGATTCGCCGGGCCTCCCGAGCTGTCTGCTGCGTGCGGCAGTGGAGCGCATGCGAATCAGCGAGTGTATGTCACTTTGATCTCGCCAGCTTCCTGAACTCGCGTGAGCTAGCGGGAAATTAGAGCAAGCATCTCTTTAGAGTCTCTACGTTTGACGGTATACTGGTACGGCGCTGAACAAGCTCGACGAAGCTTGGCGCGACCGCCGGGACACTGCGGTAGGCCTATGCTCTCGGCCGCATTTTCCCGAGCTGCCTGCTGCGCGTGGCAGTGGAGCGCACGTGAAGCGGCGAGTGTATGTCGCTCACATGTCATTGTTCTCGTCGGCTTCCTGAACCCGCGCAAGCTAGCGAAAAATTGGAGCAAGCGTTTCTCAAGTCTGCACATTCAGGCACGCCACCGAACCAGCTTGACGAAGCGTGCCGCAGCCACTGGGCCAGTGCGTTAGGCCTACGCTCTCGGCCACGTTTTGAACCTGGCTTGAACCTTTCATCATGCCGAAGCCGTATCGCAAGTTCCGCACCGCTCACAAGTTTGGAAAAAGCGCAAGAAATCTACGGCAAAAAGAGATAACGGCGCGGGCATATCTGACGCGCACCTAGTACAGGACGACTGTGGCGACTGAACACAATCCGCCGGATGAAACGCCGACATCTCCGCCCGTTTCCTCGGACGACGTCGGCGATAGGCAGCGCATAAGGAAAGACACAACCTTTTTGATGAGCGCCGATCATGCACAACAGCAGAAAGTGAGTGCTGATAAGATCAGCAGCTTATCGGCAACTTTGGTAAGCGAGCGCAAGCTGCGAACGCTCGCGACAGCACGCAAGGACTCGGACCCGTCGGTGGCTACCTATGGTATCGCCGCCTTATCCCGCGATAAACAAGCTTCTTGAAAGAACGGCTGACTGCCGGACATGCAATGGGACCATTTCTATTGAAAAAGGTGAGCGTGAATATGGACTTGCAATGAATTGATTTCAGAGTGCCGCAACTGTGGACTTCTTGACAGTGAGTGGAGCTCTGGGAGGGTACCCAGCCAGGCTAAATGCGCTGCATTTGAAGTGAATATCCATGCGTCTCATGCCGTGCAAAGCACAGGGAACGGCCAAGCAACCCTAAACGACATCTCTGTAATGGGAATTTCTCACCGGGGACTTCACCACAAAAGCTATCAGAGCCATTTGAAAAATAAACTGAATCCTGCGGCAACAAGTGCTACAGACAAGGTCCTCTCTGATTGTGCCATGTCAGTGAAAACATTATACCAAGATTCGTGCTTTGACAACCCAGGTAATGTATCCATTTGTTAGGATGGCACATGGATAACCAGAGGCCACCTGTCGCACATTGGTGTGGGTGTTGTTATAGAGCTGTTTTCTGGCTATGTTTTAGACTATGTTGTCCTGTCAAATTTTAGTGCCGGCTGCAAGCGCGCACCACCAAAAGAGCACCCAAATTACTTTGTTTGGGGGTCAATGCACATCTACCAGAAAAATACAGAGTGCAAATCAGGGCACATGGAAGTGGAGGCAGCACTCGCTCTTTTTGAGCTCTCAATTTCCCGTCACGGCTTGCGATACACAGTGATGCTGTGTGATGCGGACAGTAGATCCTTTCATGCTGTTGAAGACTCGACAGTTTATGGTTTCATACAGGTTCAAAAAGAGGACTGTTTAAACCATGTCCAAAAATGAATGGGTACTGCACTACGCAATCTTGTTCAAAAGCATAAAGGTTCTGGCAAAACAATAAGTGGAAGAGGCCGCTGGACAGGTGATGTCATAGAGAAATTGTGGAGATACTATGGCTGGGCTGTGAAGTCCAATGCTGATGACGTAGATGCAATGCACCGGGCAACCATGGCCACATATTATCATGTGATATCGATTGATGATAGGTCCAACCACACCTTGTGTCCAAGTGGCAGTGACTCATGGTGCAAGTAGAATGCTGCTGCCTGCAAGGGGAGAACTGCTGCCAGAACACACCTACAACTTCCCACAAAATGTCCCTGATGCACTACTTCCAGTCTACGAGCGACTTTGGGACAAGGAGCTGCTAAAATACTGCCAAAGAGGCAAAACACGAAATGCAAACGAGGCACTCAATTCTGTCATATGGTCTCTAATGCCTAAAGAGAAGCATGCTTCACTAATAGCTGTTGAGACTGCAGTTGCTGAGGCCATGGTGCGCTTCAATTCAGGAATGAAAAAACGCTCCACACTTATCCTTAAAGTACTTCAGCTAGAGTAAAACTCCATGACGACGCGCAGAAGAGAAGGCAAGCAGGAAACATATTCTATTTCTTCGCTCATGCTCATTCGCGATAGCTATACAGTCGAAACCCGCAATAACTAAATCGCCGGTGAAAGCGAAAAACTTTGTTTTCGTGAGAATTTCATTGCCACGAGTATGAGACATAAAAACAGTGATACGGCCAGCAGAACGAAAATTTATTAAATTTATTGCCAGAAGTCGGTCAACTTACTTTGCCGACCCTTGCCATGCAACAACTTCAAAGCTCTCCCTTCGCACTGGAAAAAGTGGTCCATTGCTACGTCGTTATCATGTGCGCCGAAGAAGGAGCGAAGGGTGTCCAGCGCATCCAAAACAACTCACCAGTTGTTTTGGATGCGCTAGCGCGTTGTTCCTGCCCACAGTCTCGCTGTCAGCGGAGTTAGGTCTAAAGCCGACTATGATGACGCGCCCGCTCGTACTAATCTGATCGTGCCGCCGCTTACAGCTTCGTTGCTTGCAACAAAGCACGTCGCCACGAGTGCGCTAGCGCCTCGTTCCTGCCCGCAGTCTCGCTGTCGGCGGAGTAAGGGCTAAAGACGACTCCGATGACGCACCATGCTCGTAGTAACCTGATTGCGCATCTGCCTACTGCTCCTAATTAAAGCGTAATTACAATCCAAGTGATCATCGAGCCGTGAACACGTCATGAAGTAGAAATTTTCGAGAGTCATGTCCTCGCGACGCACAAGCAGCAGACGACGATCTCTTGGAGCGAGCATCAGGCCAATGGCGCGGCGAGCTGGGTCAATATGAGGGCTACAGCCAATGAAGGGCCTTCAAACTACCTTCAAACATTTACTTTTTGTGTGCTTGTTTTTAAAGGGAGGAGCCAGCTGAGGTGGGAAAGTTAAACGCGGAGAAATGCTCTTTCCGATGAGCCCAAGAAGCCGGCTCCCGGCCCCGCCATCGCGAAGCCATAATTTTTTGAAAATCGCTGTTTTCTCGTGATTTCAAAAAAAAGTTTTGCTACCTAGGCTGGTGAAATGAATTTTCCGAAGCACTTCTGCACGGTTTTCAGTGTAGATATTTTGGAATCAGATAGAAAAAGGGTTCCAGAAACTGAAAATTTGATTTGCAAAAAATCGATTTTTTTGCCATCTTTCGCAATCCCAAAGCCGCGTCCAGTGGCGTAACTAGGGGGGGGCAAGGGGGTACAAGTGCCCCGGGCGCCACTAGGGAGGGGGCGCCAAGCCGAGTCCTCGGGTTGGCGCCCCCTGGAAAGGTTGTCAATGTTTTTTTCCGTAAAACCGCCTGGAAGGGGGAAGGGGCGAGGTTGTAATGTACGACTGGAAGTGGGGATGGTGGTGAAGGAAAGGGTTGCCGCAATGGCTTTTGCATCGGGAAAAGGATCCTCTATTTTCATTTTGCTGCGCTACCTCCGTGCCTTCCCATGACCCTCGGCTAAGCTTTGTTTTGTGCTCCGCAGCACTGGGTTAGATGAGTTTCAGCGAACCCCACCAGCCTCCCAAACCACTTACTGAAAGCTTCCCTGAAACCAACCACGTACGTAAACAAAATAAAATAAAAAAGTTCGAATGCACCTTTTTTGAGTAAGAACAGAAAACTCCAACGAAATAGCCGATCGTCCAACGACTAATCGTCCACGCAGCGGCGGAAGGAAGGGCGAATATAATCCGTGACCTCGGCACCAAAGGCTAAACAAAGGCGTTTATTCGCAGAGTTCTCTGGAGGAAAGACGGAGAAAGCGTGACACGACGGCGACGTTTGTTGATTCCCTGCATCGCGGGCGCCAGCAAAGCAATAGAAGGGCGGGGGTCAACGTTTCCCACATGCCATCCACCGCCATGGGCAGGTTCATCCTTTGGCCCA